CTAGTTTAATTAAACTTAATTAAAGTGCAATTCTCCATTGCATTGCATTGTAATTGAGTTTAATTAAACTCCAATTAAAACGCAACCCTATATAGGAACGCGTTTTAATCGAGTTCATATCGCAACTATATTAAAAGTTAATTCAACTATATTAAAAGTTAATTCAATGGTGGCTCCACAATTCATGGGACACCTGTATGTGTGTGTGTGTGTGTGTGTGTGTGTGTGTGTGTGTTAGAGGACAACAACAACAGCAAAAAATTTTTTTGAACAAAGTTTAATCTACATTAAATAAGAACTAACGTCGTTTTGAAAATATCTAGTGGAAATGATTCTTGGGTGGTGGTATTCTTGTATAGCTCAGTTATGATTCTTACTGTAACTGTGCTGAATAATTCTAACACAGTCAGGAGAAAGGTTGCGAATGGCTTTTTAGGTATATATTAGTTAGCTTTATTTGAGTTTTAAAATATTTGGCAGCAATTAATCTTAACCTTAATATGGAAAAATAGTGTGAATCACGTAATTATGTATACTGAAGTGTAATTTGAGTAATAGTGAAAATCCACATAATTTTAACAGTAGTTGAAAATTACCTGCTATATAGAAAAATATTTTTTTAATATATTCAAATGAGCTGACATTATGGTTTGTGACCTAAGAACTGTGCAGGTCGTAAACCTTTCCAGTAAAACTCTTTCAATGGCTTTATTTGTCTGATATATGTCTTCTGATCATTGTTTTAGTTTTAGCTTGTCACCCTAGTTTTTTTTATCTAATTTCTGTGTTTTACTCTTTGGAATTTAAAATTGTTTTTTTTTTTTTTTTTTTTTTTTTTCACTTTTCCAGAAAAATCTGCCGAAACTGTAAATGTGGCCAAGCTGAACATGACATCAAACCTGAGTTTAATGAACAGCAGAGAAGGATTGGACGCCTTTTTGGTGAGGAGGTCATTGCACCATTCCAAATGACCACCATGACCATTGAACGGCCTATTGATCCTAAATCACCCAAAGCGCCTAAAGAAACCGTCACTTTTGAATGGGTGCCAGGCAACGTTACTACATCCTTGGTATGTTACTGTTTTAATATTTCAATCAATGCATGATTCAGTCAAAGTGAACTTTTGCTCACCTGTCACCTTTCGCAAAATAAACCTGTGTAAATGTCGGTAATGATTAGACAAGTATATCTGATTTGAATTATATTTGATCTTAAATCAACAAGAATATTTGGTTTATATAAAAATGCAGCAAAATTTTAGAGGGAAAAACCATGGTGATCAAAGGGTTAACCTTTCTCGCCCAAACTTTTCTGCATTTTTTTCTTACAGTGTTCAATGTTTCTAGAAATGAACACTTATTTTGGAGCCAAGACAAAATTTGATTCAATTTTCAGCTTTTACTAAAAAAAATTGGCTATTTTTGTCTCAATCTTCTGAAGGAAAGTGCAGACTATAAACAGGACTATTTTGTGAATTTATGATGAAAAGAGGGAACTGGTGGTGAAAAGGTTAATAATAAACTACCTTTTTCCTGTCACTCGATGATTACAATGTTGCAATAATTAGTTTGTAGGTTTTTTTCATACCAGCTTGAGTGTATTTTTAGGGAGTGAAACAGATAAGGAGTCTCTGATTTGAAACCTGTTTGTATTTTCAACAACAAAAAATGTACTTAGCTTCCATCAATGATTTGGAAATTGTTTATTTTACCAAAAAAAAAAAAAACTTTTATTTGAAATTTAATTTTTTGTTTATTCCATAGACTTGCAGATTATTTTATTCCATAGACTTACAGATTATTTTATTCCATAGACTTGCAGATTATTTTATTCCATAGACTTGCAGATTATTTTATTCCATAGACTTGCAGATTATTTTATTCCATAGACTTGCAGATTATTTTACGTATAAAAAACATATGTTAGTGTGCTACCTTATGTGTTTCATTAGAGCAGTATTTTCAATAGAAGCGCACATACACCGACAATTGCTTTATGTTTGACCCGTGAAATACAACTTAGACGTATCGAGATACTCGCTTATCTAACCTCATCTAATAACGATTCCTTGTATTAAACTAAAAATAAACAGGTGCTCTATAGCTTCGTTAAAATGAGAAGTGGAGACCCATTAGTAAATGACATCTGCTGTGCTCTTACGATTCAGTTATTTAATTGACATAAATATTGTACGTGGGTTATCCCGACCAGAAGTGATTTCCCACGAGAAGACGTCTATTAAATTATTATAATGAGGGGAATGCACATGTGTGCATATATTGTTCTATTTCCTTCAGTGTAAGAGTGAATGCACTATACAAGAAGTATTGACAAAATATAAATGGGCCATACTGTAGGAAATATGTTTGCGCATAATGTGCATTGTTTACCTATATTATGGTTAATCACCCCTCCCCTCCCCTCCCCTCCTCTCCCCTCCCAAAGGTATAAATATCACCGTTTCCTCACACTCTCCTCATGAACGATAAATAAATAATTGGAAGTCTATACTCGGCCCTTTGCAAATAATATGGCCTTGATGAAAAATAATTTCCTTAGTATTGGCCAATAAATATATATCCTGACATTTATATTTAGAACATCATCGTTCTAATGCTAATTAGAATATGTAATTAAAGCCTGAATTTATTATGCATTAAATGTAAGTGACATCGTTCAGTTGATAGCGTACTGATAACGACAATTCATATGGTACCATTTAGATAGCAAATTCAGTTGTATAAATCTCTTCTGTCATTAGTGTTATCAATATGATTACAGTTTTTATTGAAGTATATCCAAGTAGATTTTTGGGAATTGATGTAGTTTAATATATATAACATAAAAAAATAAATGCAAATTTACTGTAACCATATGGCCACTGCTCTAAAAATAATAAAGGCTAAACTATATCTTGAAACATGCCTTGACTGATTTCATGAAACTCAACACTTGGATATTGTGTTTCTATTTATAGAAAGGTCATGAAAATATCCAACAGAGACTGTGACACGTTCCTCAATATTGGTCAAATTTACATACTTAATTCCTAGAAAGACAGATTCCAACTTTTTACATGTAATCATTGCTCTACTAACGAGGACATGATGGGGATTTACTTTTATTCATGCAGTGTTGTGTTTAGGCATGGTTCGCATATTCCACTTTTTATTTTTCTGTCAGTTTAGTAATCGTAATTCTTTAAAATGACCGAAAAACAGGAAGTCCAGGTGTTTTCAGCACTAAATAGTTTGCATTACATTATGTTAATGATTCATTGTAAATTTAAACAAGAATGAATTTCCTTTTGTACATAATTTGCCCTGTCAAATAATATTATCAGGATCACTAGGTCAGTCATGAGTTGGAGAAGCATTGAACAAACAAACTGCTGCTATTATGTGCCCGGAGTAATTTGTTAACTACCATATATACTTTATTGAATTTCATTTATTGTAAGATGGATTATTAAAATATGACTTAGGGACGACGTCAAAAGATCGATGTCGGATAAAAAAACTTATTTCCTTTAGTTTGGGGGTGGGGGGTTTTGACCTCAAAACGTTTCCATCCTACAAAAACGATTTTATTTTTTAATGAAGTCAAAAAAATCTTGGAGTATTTGTAGTTCGTTTTTTTTTTTCTATCCAATCATGGACAGAAATAGCCAAAAAGGGAAAAAAACAGAAAAATGGTTTGGTTCGAGTGTAAATCTGTGCGTCAAATGAGGTGCATTTGTAAAATCTTTTTACACCCACCCGACAACCAACTGCTATGCAATACTACTGTCCGATTATCAATTTGTATTTAATGGTGAATGTAGTCTGATGCCATGACCAATATTTATCAATTAAGTTTCAGCGGGGGGTCGGGGGTTTGGAAAAAAACTAAAGGAATTAAGTTTTTTATCCGACATCGATCTTTTGACGTCGTCCCTTACATGGACCATAAACACACCTCTTTACGTAAGTTCATACACTGATAAAATTCAAACTAATACAGAGATATGCACTCACATTGCTGCATAGTTTGTGTCCTTTAAATCTAATGTTCCTCTTTCTTCGCACAGGCGCAACGATACATGGAAATGATCCCAGCTGAAAACCAGCCAATTGCGGGAACAGTGGGTGCTCAACAGCGTGACCAACAAATGATGAAGCAGTTGCCTTCTCATGATCAGGCAGCAGAATTCTGCGATGATTTAACAGAGCATGAAACGAAGAAATTAGAAGAGTTTGTTAGCGAATATAAAGCCAAAGCTTTAGGTGTCGGTCTAGTGCGCGAAGTGATCATTCAAGATATGGCCCCTCATGTCAGCACAGCCCGATCTCACGATGCTGGCATCGGTGTTCATGGTACCGCCGTACCACTGGCTGGACAAAGAAGATCTCCATCCCCCGGCGGATCAGCAGCCTATCCAGCTCCTGCTTCTGCAAATGTTATTCATGGTTCTGTGGGACCCGGTGGAGTGGCACGTAGTGAAGCGGTACCATCTGGTGTGAGATATAAGACGGAGCTCTTGCATTACCAGCAGGAAGGAGGTGCAGGACATGGTGGCGCATATCATCCGCCAGGCATGGCAGGAGATGGACATGGTGTTGTATATCAGCCAGGTATGGAAGGATCCATGGGAAGGGAAGGCGTGGAGAGAGGCACTGCTAATGTGCATGGTTTAGCCACTGGTCATGGTCTGGCTACAACTCATGGTGATATTTCTGGTACTGCAGCTGAGCATGGTTACGCAGATGCCACTCCAGGACAGGCTGGAGTCGCTGCAGGACATGCTGGATTCGTGCCAGGACAGGCTGGTGTTGCTTCAGGATATGCTGGTGTTGCACCAGGACAGGCTGGGTTTGTTCCAGGACAGGCTGGTGTTGCTTCTGGTTATGCCGGCGTCGCACCAGGACAGGCTGGGTTTGTTCCAGGACAGGCTGGTGTTGCTTCTGGCTATGCCGGCGTCGCACCAGGACAGGCTGGGTTTGTTCCAGGACAGGCTGGTGTTGGATCAGGATATGCTGGTGCAACTCCCGGCTATGCAGGTGAAGGTGTGGCTCCAGCTTATCCTGGGGTTGCTACGGCACACACTGGTATCGCTCCAGGACATGCTGGAATTAGTTCCAGCCATGTAGGCGGTGTTCCTGGCCATGCAGTTGAAGGAATGGCGCCAGGTTATGCTGGTGGAGAACATGGAACTCCAGGACATAGATATGAAGGTGTAGCTTCGGGACAAGCTGGTACTTATGCTTCTGGTGACGGAGATAGACTCGGCCGTGGTGGTGACTTCACAGCTGACATGCTTGATGCTATGCCACCCCCGCCGCCACCTGGTAGTAGTGTCGGTGGTCTTGGTGGTGATATGGGTCAGCAGGCGGTGGCTCCTCAATGGGTAAGTGAAATGCATAATACTATAATAGATGGTCTGTTACATTAATGTTTCATTGGGGGGGGGGGTATGTTTCTATTTCAGATGTGTATACCTTTTATGAACTCGCTACCGATTGTCAAATTGTGTGTATGTGTGCACCGGTATAGATGCACACAATTGTGTAGGTGCCATGGCGATGGCAGTCATCAACAAACTACAGAAAACTACTGAGTTACTAATCGATTGTATGTTTCGTCCATACCATTTGGGGCAATTCATAAAGAAACGCTATTTGAACCACATTCTGAACAATGAGTGCCATCAGCTCATCTCTAAACAATATATTTTTGTTGCCAGATGTTGTACGTGTATTGTGATCTTTGAGCATAGCTAGTCAGGTGGGATATACGAGGATAAACCACACGTCGCTGCGAGGATATTGTTTACAGGGGTTACGAGAAATATTCAGAGTTATTTAGCAAGATGGTCGGATGGCACAATTACTATTTTATTAAAATGATCAACATTATGATTTGCTAATCTTGTTTTTTCTAATTTGGTGAATAGTAAAACCTGCCAAGGTAACCTGTTCATGTTTTATTTTGAAAAAAATACTTTGCCATAGTATAATAATGAAATGTTTTAAAAACGGTTCACGTATCAATAGATTGGACAAAGTACAAAGTAGCAAACCATTTTATTAACTGACTGTCTAAATGATTCACAAAAGCGCTGTAAAAAAGGAAACAGTGTGTAGTCTAGCTTTGGACAAAGAACTAGTTAGCTAGCTAAGAAAGCATTTGTCGTAGAATCATATATTTTGTTATTTCTAAAAATTTTGTAAGTAGTATTTGGTAATGGGTAGGAGGTAAGGGGGGCTTACAAAGATAATATATAATTCCTATCTTTACACATGAACATATTTCTTTATTGGGTAATATGTAATTATGATAAATAACAATGTTTATTTTCAAAATTAATATAGCATGTGGGTGAGGGGGTTTGGGTATAATTAGTAGATGCCGGCACAAGTATAGAGTGTCGGTCTCAATGTATTTTTGTTTCATTTCAGCCTTACGCCAAACGTAAAGGTAGCAGGAAGGTAAATGCGTATAGTAATATATGAAGCGTGTGTAATCAACTAAATTTGATCGTCATTAATCAACATTGCTTTAATACACAGATTCAGTTTAATAGACCGAAATAATTCATTTGACACATTCATGTTTTTATAATATTTATGTGTTTTTTCATTGGTTCAATGTTGTACATTTTTTTGTTGTTGTTGCTATATTTGTTGCCATGCTCAGTGTTATGGGTTTACACTTAGAGTTTATTAATTCATGTACATTACATGTAGGAAATAAGCAAATTCTAATGTCAATATCATAGGGCTAATGGTGGGTATGGTGAATGTGGATATGACCTGTCATTGAGACTTTATTGACCAGCTTGGATGTGTTTCACTTACTGTGTATTGTCTACCAGCACTATGAATTGTGTTTCGATGACATGAACATCATCCAGCATAATTATAAAAAAATTATAAAATACATATGATGAAAACAAATTTTTAGCTCCCCTGCCGACTTGACAGAGCAGAGTTGTTCATATTACTGATTGTTCGTCAGCGTCTACTTTATACTTTCCACTTCTTCATGAAGACTACTTTGTATATATGTACCTTGGGTGGCACTCTCTCAGATTTGTTCATTTTATGATATTTTTAATTTTGATGAATAATTTCGCCATTTTTGGTGAAAAGTGCTGTTTCCAACTTCTTTTTTAAAAAAGGTAGCTCGACTGCTTCAATATTTTTTTAACCGTCGACTTCACGTTGACCTTAGTCAGATTCGTTTTTTTTGTCATACCCTAATTTTCTAATTTTACGGAATATTTTTAGTAAAAAATCCATTGTTCAGCTATACAGTTGAGCTATATCAGCCGACAGGTTGCTTGTTTTTTTCAATGTCTAAGTTGACATTGCAACTGTTTAATTCTGAATTATTAGAGGTGAGCATGCGTGTGAGTGAGTGTGTGAGTGAGTGAGTGAGTGAGTGAGTGTGTGAGTGAGTGAGTGAGTGAGTGAGTGAGAGAGTGCATACATCCAACAGATAGTATTAAGATATTTAATATTTTTCATGGGACTAACATATACAACCTTATTTAATGCAAGTTTTCGCACAAAATGAAAATTTGAATAGAATTTATTACTCAATTATTGATTATTTCTAATATTTTTAACATCCCTCATGCCCTTTGCATGATTCAAGCATCCCATCTAACCTTTGACCCGTATGTGGTTAAACTTTAAATAAACCTAAAGTGGGAACGGACTCTGTATGTAATCCAATATGTTTCCATTATTCAACCATACAAGACTTTCAGTGTATTTCATGTATAAATTTTTTTCTTTAATTAAAATCCTAGGTGTTAATCAAAGACTATGTAAGTTTTTAAGGGCGTAGCTTTCGCTATTTGGTGCGTCTTTCGCTATTTGGTGCGTCTTTTCTGTATAGTTTTTATGCGTGCTCTATAGAAGAAAAAAATTATCCGTTAAACTGGGTCTTGCTGGCAGCGTATAGTTTATTTATAGTAACAATAATATAATTGACCCGAAAATAACCTGCATTGTCGCATCATTTCTGCTCATGGCTTCACAATTGTTGCTTATGCTGCATGGCCCGGTAAATAGTCTTTTCTTGAAATTGAGTTGCTTGAAAGTTGGGTGTTGTAACGTGCCCTCACGTTTCCCTGGACGGGTGATTGGATTCCTTTGTTATATTTCTATTTTGTTGCAGAATGCTACAGTGGTTCATCCTCATCAATCAGACAGATGTCTGGGTCTTTGTTCCCATTCTATTGTGTATGCATGGAAACTTGTTTTACTTTAGTTATGTCTATCCAAAGCTATTCTTATTGTTGCCATTGTTTTCTATTTATAGAAATGTTGTGGCTGCCATGAGAATTTGGAAGGTGGTGACGTAGCCGTTTTCGCTGAGAGAGCTGGACCGGATAAGTGCTGGCATCCGGGATGTTTCCGATGTGGTACTTGCAATGAGCTGCTTGTCGATCTGATTTACTTCTACAAGGACGACAAGGTGTATTGCGGTCGTCATTACGCCGATTTGCATCGTCCAAGATGTGCTGCTTGTGACGAGGTAGGATATAAACAACAAATTTTTCATGCAAACTCCAATTGTGTCTCTTCAGTCGTTGGTAAAGTTACATATCTAACGTTTTACAAAAAAAAAAGATCATAATCATAAAAATCTATTCCATGTTGATTTAATAGTCATTGAAATTACAGAAATCATTACAGGTCGGTTCCCTTCTCAACACCAAACCTTCTCACATGTAATAAGTTAACATTACGCAACGCATCTCGAACCTTTACCCAGACTCACTACCCACATCTATATAAAAACTGCAAAGGTCAAATTAATGTCATCTGGTGTGAAATAAACCCTACACATCCTAATTCTTTGTATTTTGTTTGAAGAATACTTCAATTTATTCTGTTATTGAAGCTGCAGTATTTGCTCTATTAGAAAATGCACCTGAACCTTAAACTGCCTTTATTATAATATATTATTATACATCTGTCACCGTAACGCCATAAGTTACAGCGTGCTGTAATTTTGCGGTATTTTAAGGGGTATTTTCATGCGAATTCCAAATATGGAATGATTACGCGTGTAAGCGTCTTCTAATAATAAAAACAAACATGGCTGCCATTAGGGTTTGACCGGATCCACTGGACAAAGCAGTTCGTTGATTCTGTTCCAAACATTTTGAATTTCGGCATTCCCATGATTTATCCTTGGAAGGAAAAGATGTATAACTCAGACAGTACACTGTAGCTTCGACCTCCTCTGTACATCGGCCGATACTGTCTTCATGCATACTTTGAGGTATCCTCGTAATAACCTCATATTATTATAATATGAATTATTAAATTATGATTTATTTTGGTACTGCTTTCAGTTAATTAAGCATATGCACGGCTCGAAAAAATACAGTACTTGTATGGTTCATCTACAAATCTCATTTTGAAAAAAAAAATCAAATCCTCTATCTGACATCAATTTATTATTTTCTGGCTTGCTTATAGATTTGTGTAATAATGAGCTCTTGTTTTTTTTCTCTACAGCTTATTTTTGCCCGCGAGTACACACAGGCTGAAGACCAGAACTGGCATTTAAAACACTTCTGCTGTTTCGAGTGTGATACACTACTGGGTGGCAAACGCTATGTTCCAAGGGATAACCATCCATACTGTTTAGAATGTTATGAAGTCATTTTCGCTAAGGTGAGTTTTTCAGTCTATCCTGTCTAAAATATAATTTTTGATTTTGGAAATGAATTTACAGCGGGACTGGTCGTTGTGTGTTGGTCATGACTTTTTTCTTTCTGATTTCTGCCAAAAAACAGTGAAAACTTTTAGAATAAATAGAAATAGAATAAAATGAGTTAAAAAAGGTGCATCTCTAGACCAGAAACAAAATGAAAAAAATATATCTTCATAGAGTAACCCTAATCTATTCATCAAGTATAATATGATTACGCATTCACATTTTCAATTTAACAACTTAACATTTGCCCATAAACTGTTTTCACCGTAAATCTGTTTAAATCTTTAAGCCTGCATTTTTTTCTTAAATTCTTCAATATTTCTGGAAATGATTTTGGGGCCAAATTTGAGTCAATTTTTACTCAAAAAAATTGGTTATTTTTGTCTCAATATTCTGAAGGAAAGTGCAGACTATAACTTGATTATTTTGTGAATTTGTGATGACAAGAGGGAACTGGTGGTGAAAAAGTTAATATTAACAAAGTTTTACATAAATAGTATTTGCCACTTCAGTATTCAAATATGAGTTCACCTCAAAATACCAGTGTTGGCATGACTCTTTTTTTTTGCTGAAACGAATGTGAATAGCTAATACAACTTTTAATATATTGGTCAAAAAGTTCATTCTTTTGTCTATTTCTATTTTTAAATGTTTTTGTGCCAGGCTACAGTGTTGGACATTGAATGTCACTGTTGTCTTGCCTGCCTGTCTGCCTGCCTGCACTGCAAAAAGTTCATTTTTATTCTGATCTCACTCAGGGAATTTGTGATTAGACAAGAATTGTGTGCCAAAAACAAATGATCCTCTACATAACTATGTGATTGTTTTGTTGACAGATATGCCAGGCGTGTAAAGGAAAGATATCGGCTGACGCGCAACGACTGAGCCACAAAGAATTCCATTGGCATGCTAATGAACAATGTTTTTGCTGTTCCAACTGTAATACCAACCTGTTGGGAAAACAGTTCCTGCCCAAGGCTGGACACATATTCTGTTCAGTCAAATGTAAAAAGGAGGTGCTGTCGTAGATGAATACTTTCGCTTTTAGAAATCATGGGATTTTCATAGTGTTGAAGATTTTATTTATTCAAAAAAGAAAAATGTTGAAGAGTCTGCTTCTTTCAACTCTAGGTATATAAGTAGTTATATTTTTAAGAATTGAAGCGTATGTAGCAACTACTTCCGTTTTTTGTCAGCGTCTCTCGTTGTATAGACCCGCTATGTTCTCAAAGTTGGTTGATATCTTGTTTCTCGATTTGTACAAGAAGACTAATCACCTTATCAACTAAAACAGTATGTGATTGGGTCGAAGTTTATTTTAGGAACAGACATTTTGTTTTATTTTGTAGTTTCTGAATGAATAATTTGAATCAAAAATTCAAAAAATAAAAAATGGAAATAATGCTTGTAAATATATGAATGTTATCAGCGTTGCATATAATACTTACATATTTCTGTTCTGCTTGCTATATTCAGTTTTCCAAAAACATTTCCTTATTTTTGTTTTAAACGGAGTTAAAAAAAATGTATTTATTGTACATTTGCCAACTTTTCTGTAACCTGTCTAATATGCCAGCATGTATACCTGTAAATGTAAGTGACGTCACCTCAACCTTTGTATATTTTCTAATCTAAATCAATTTCAGCGACAGTACCCGATGCTGAAAAATCACTTATGGCTATGGGTATAAGTTATTTATTAAATCACCCTTTGAGTACCAAAGTTAACACTAGTCACCCTTTAACAAGATGATTTATAACAACACCCCCCCCCCCCCCCAGTAATGTTGATCAAGACTTGTAGGCAATATTAAATATTTTGTTCAAAATTATAGAAAAATGTAAAGGGGTGCTGTTCACTGCTACGTATTTCATCTCTATAAACGAAATAACTTTTTTCAGACTTTCCATTAAATGCCATATAAAGCATAAACCATTTTTGTTAAATTGAACCTTGTATGCTTGAATTATTTTATAATGAAGTAATAATGTCAGATGAAATGAGTACAAAGTCTGTATGAGTAGTATTTTACTGAGTAAACTCCAGTATGATTTTTGCCGCAATGCCTGAGTTACTTGACAAATCGGTTAGCAGTAGCTAATAAGTTATCAGTGAGTCCTGTATTATATCTCTTGTCTTTCAAATACAAGGCGTGACATGTGTACCGGTACATGTAGTATAGTGTAGTATAGTATGAAAACAACCGCACCCACTTTGATGCCTTACATCTTGTAAGTTGTATAGAACTGTTTATCTACAGTATTGTCTTCATTAGAAGCACTTATTTTAATGCATTAGCAGCAGAAAACTTCCAAATAAATGGGGGAAAATGCCGTCAACATGTCATTTGTTAATGACCTGTTAGTTCGCTGAAATCCCTTCAAAACAATGCCTTTGATTTTGGCTCGTGCGTACCTTTATTTAAAATGGTCTTCTAATAGAGTAAATACTGTACTTCCGTTATCAGCATTATGGTGTGCGATTTCAAAATTTACTTTGTGTTCAGAGTTCAATATTGTAGACTCTGTCAGAGATTTTCTCAGTATGTAGTTGTAAGATAATTTTAAAAACTTCCAAGAATTTAAAATTTAAGCGTAAAACTCAAAACTGATATATTTACTAATACTGCCCTCTGTTGAAATTTCTTAAAAAGATCAAAAATTATGAGAAACTAAAGTTTTCACTGCTTGGACTTTCCACTATTTGATGATTTAACAGAGTTAACTAGGTCACAATTTTGCTAAAAGTCTGTCACTTAATTCTGGTTACCTCCCTCTTGTATTGTGGGTCTCCCCTATTATAGTGTGAACATGTTGCCTAGATTATGCTCATACAGTCTGTGGGTGACAGCGATTGTCTGATGAATATATACAGTTTTGCTAATTTAAATATGCTAATTTTCATGACAGTTGTATGTTCTCTGCACACTCTCGGTCGATAGCTGCGGGAGAGATGATGTGTAACCGCTCCCCATTCTTGATAATGTTGAAATAAATTTACATTGACAACGTGTCGAGACTATTATGGAGAAAGAACCCACAAAATAAAAGGTAACCACGCTAGTGATGCTGTGTATATCAGACTGGCATGTAGTGAAATTGTCATCACTACATAACTTCGCGATTTACACAGTCTCTTGAAGTGCATAACAAATTATCTGTAGCGATTACACCCTAATTTTCAGTTTCCAGTCATACTAACTTCATTTGACTTGATATTAGAAAACATGTTGGTCAGAGTAAAAGCTTAAATAGTGAATTTTACTTTCCAAAGGTTTATTTTGTGTGAAGCTAAATATTGCGTCATGTTCACCTTTAACCTTGTAAAAAACTGTAACTCTAGAGGGCAGTAGTACATTAATTTAAACTAATCAACCAATCATTCTTTATAATATTTTTATTTTCCATCTAGAAGCTTCAAATTCTGGTGAAGTGGATACAATTTAATGTTTTCTATTTTCAAAGTTAAAAAGTTTTGAATGAGAGACAAACTGGAATTCCTATGGCGTTAACAGCTAAGCGATTTAGCGTTCTTTCAGAGAAATCATTATCTATTGGCTGGTAGACTTTAGTGGTGGTTGAGGTAATAACTTTGTTTGTATATTTGCTGTGTTTTATTGTCTCACTGCAGGATTTCCACTGATCAAGAATGATATTGGTGCCTGAAAATTTGACATGTTCTTCCAAGTTTTAATAATTCAATAAAAATACATGTATACAAATAAAACAACCAGTTGATGTGTGCATTTTCAATTACTCTGTACAAGTGGTGGTTGCAATTGCTTTCGCACTTACTTAAAGGAATGGTAATTTGTTGTCACTGTGCAATAATCAGTACATCCTCTTTTTCTACAACTTTACTTACAGCATTTATACCCTGCCTGTCGCTCACAAAAATATCGTAATTGGTTCGATGTCCTTCATTCTTTCCCCACATTTTTGGGATTTTTTCTATTTTTCATAAAAGTAAAATACACATGTACTGTAGTTCATAAAGCCAGACCTTTTTTATTTCATGTTTCTCGGGTTTTTATAAGGCACATTTTGTGAGGAAGGCGGGGAAAAAAATATATTTTTTTTCCCCATTACATTTATGTGATTCTCAAAGAATTGTAAGTAAGATCATTGATTCAAGAGAAGAAATGAAATAAAATTTTATTCCATGTACATGTATAATCTTGTTTCTCATCTGCGCAAGACTTTGGTGCTTTGATCATGATATTCCCACGAAAATGCAACTTGGATTTGCTAAAAATAATTTTTTAGTAATTTTTTGCTTCGGCTCCTGTTCATTCGGCGGGTTCGCGAAACAATGGATAATACTAGTAAAAGTCTGGCCAAATGAGCTGCAGCAGTTGCTTGATGTCTTCTCTGAGTGAGGGCGCTGTTTCTGACCTGGCATTATACATTCAACTCTGAATGAAGCCTTATATTTCCTCTTTGATTTGATTTTATTTATTATTGATTGTTTATTAAGGGATGAATCAGTAAAAATTAAATCCAATGAAAATATATTTTTTCCTGCTTTATTTTCAAAATTCGTTAAAAATAAACATCCTACAAAACAGCCAGATTTTCTTCAGCGAAAATTAATTCCAGCTAAAAAAACGTATTTTACAATACGTGATTAGAATGTAGACAGTCCTCGGGCCTAATGTAATTGTGTTTCCTAGACATTCGAACGCCGTAGACGTTTGATGGGAAATGCGAAACATTTCATGCGTCGGAACTCCATACTTCCTGTCCCGGCGTTTGCAATTTATTCACGCTTATTACGTTTATACACAATATGTATTAATAATAACAGATTAATATTAGGTACGACCGACTGTCGACAGTCTATTATTGATTGTTTATTCTCGATTAAGGGATGAATCAATAAAAATTAAATCCAATGAAAATGTATTTTTTCCTATTTTATATTTTCAAAATTCGCTAAAAACAACCTTCATATAAAACAGCCAAAATTTCTTCAGCGAAAATAACGTATTTTACAATACTTTGTGATGTATGTTTAGGAATTAGTGATAAATATCCATAAACGTTTCAATCAATGATGAGATTATTTGTTATTATTTTCCATGTGATGAGTGGATGGATATGCGAGGGTATGTAATTTAATTATTTTAACTGCCTGAGTGCAACCAAGCGATGTAGTCTTTACGAGGTTACGCCATTGAGTCCACATGCGTCCAGCCCGTGTCCTGTACTCTCATCGCTGAAATGAAATATCATACCTATAGTATAGCGCGATGCCGGAGGAAATGACTGTTTCGTGTCTCTTCAATAAGCGTCATGTGCAGGTATTGCACATTTCAGGATGAATAATTTGGTCGAAGCAATTTACAATCCGACTATCTGTGGACAGAATGCATAACAGAATGCATTTATTTTTTGAAAATAAAATTACTAGTACATACCAAAGAACTTATTTAGTAAATATGAAGCTCGCTAACAGCCTGGCAACTTTACTCCGTTGAAAATTTAGATTATTATGGATATGTAAGTACACCTATGAATCTGTCAAAACTGTCTGTCATTGATATCACTGATTTTTTTTTTATATACCGTATATATTTTCGGAAATATGTTGTATCGAAAAGAATTATGCTTTTCAAAGTTGTTTTTTAGCTGCTTTAAAGGGTGGTAGTCATCGTGCCGCGTCCTGTTCAATATGGGACTCATAGCGACGTATACAACGCGTGTAAAATACATTGTTTATTTTACATGAAATTCGAACACGCGCTGCGCGACGACCTCTGCGCTTTAACATCCGCAAACTCAAATTCTTTCACCAATGCTTCTCGCATACAAGATTTGCATATAATCTCTTGCTTGTTGTTTGATAAATTTCCAATAAAATATTATGTGAGTGTGTAAATGACGTTAATCCGGCATTTGCCATTTATACGCTCAAATATATATATTTTTTTACATAACTAGACTGTCGACAGTCCTCGAGCTTAATGAAATTGTGTATCCTAGACATTCAAACGCCGAAGGCGTTTGATGGGAAATGTGAAGCATTTCACGCGAGGGACTTTAACGGCACTTCATATTTTCTGTCCCGGCGTTCGCAATTTATTCACGCCTATTACGTTTATACACAATATTTATTAATAATAACAGATTAATATTAGGTACGATCGACTGTCGACAGTCTAGTACATAACATGTGCATAGTATTATTCTTCATTGTTTTCAGAAATAGGTGTGCGAAAAAAATGATGGTAACATAATAAATATACACGATAATACTGCAACTATAAAAAAAAAATACATCATTGTATAATACAAACAATACAGCATAGGGCAGGTGATTGGACAAATGTGGTGGTGCCTGTACCTAGCATGAAGCTAGCTTGTACTACAGTAATTCATACACCGTATTAGTCGTGTATGTACTTACATAAACGGCAGAGGTGTGTCTACGGACAAAATAAAAATCCTCGGTATTATAATGACGCACTATACAATATAAACAATATGGAACCATTATTTTTCAAACATCATCCACACCACAAGATCTTTATGTTTTTTGCCTCGCAATTTCTCAGCGCCTTTCTCGAATACAGTGTTTGTAAGTTTAAAATAAAAATAAGGTATTTCCTTTTTATTTGTTATTTCCATGGCAAGTGTTCCCATGATAATGGAGGCGAACCCATTTCTACGATACGCAGGTTCGCAGTAACCCATTCCAATGTCCCCCATCTCCTTGTGTACTCCCCACGCCACTGGCTGATTGGCGGGGTTGTATATCGCCGCTGATGAACAGTATTTAAGTGTCTTCGAAAGCCGAGGATGAGGAAAATCGTGCGTCCAGTGGCTCGTTAACAGTGAAACGTGTCTGGGTAGTAAAGGCCCCTTCCTGAAACCTTCAGGGAGGACAGCGTTTGCGGCTCTCTCCAATTTCCTTTTGTCGTGCAGGGAAAACAACTGACGC